AAACTACCCATTCAAATCGGGAAGTAGTTTCAAGTTGGAGTTTTAAAATAATTTTAAAATAAAAAACAAAATTAAATAAAATAATGAATTACTAATTCAAATTGGCGAGTAGTTTCAAATTGAAGTTTTAAAATTATTTTAAAATAAAAGAACAAAAAATCTATTTATATATATAATATAATATAATATAATATAATATATGTATAATATATAATATATATAATAGGAGAGTCAAAGAAATCTATATCATCTATATATATATATAATAGGAGAGGCAAATAAATGTTATAATGACAAGTGTCATAATTTCTATTAACAAAATAATTATACTAAATATTGGATAATATAATAAATAAAAATACATAAAGAAAAAATTATTTGATGATTATATAAGTCCCTTTAATTTAATAGAGATTTTATTTATTAAAATTTAGACAATATCTATTCTATTTATATAGAATAGGATAATCAAATAATTGTGATAATTTCAAATGTAACATCAAAAAATTAACAATGTGACAAATATTTTTTTAATATTGACCGCGCATCGCGCGGGTACGACTACTAGTAAAATTAATAGACACCGTCAGGGGCGAATCCAGCCCTTTGGTACCGGGTTCAACTGAATCTAGTACTTTCGTTGCGGAGTACAAATTTATGTGTAAAATTCATTACAATTGTAACAAATAGTAGATGTGAACCCATAACTTTAAAACTATGATGGATTAAATGCTAAAAACCGTAAAAGGTTGAACCCATATAATTTAATTCTTGGATCCGCCTCTGGACACCGTGTGTATATGTGGTTTTGATATATACTTGCACTGCACTGTCCATTTTTAACTTGTATCTGTTCTTTTAAGATACGAAATTAGGGGTAATTGTGAGGGCCATACCAGCATTAATGGCTGTTGAGTTTTGTTGGCCAGGTGAAGAATGATAGGTACGAGAGCTTTCCTCACATGGCACAAATTTGTATTAATGGCAGCCTAAATACGGATAACGGACACTAGATGAAAAAACAAAAAATAAAGAAAAGAATGATATAGTATAAGATTTTGTAATAATAATCAAATAAAATGTTGTAGTAGATCAAATAAACTAAACGTAGATAGAGTTACGGATTCTGACTTATCCTAAGGTCTCTACTTGTTTGGTCGTTCTCATCATGCGTATATAATTCAACATTTTGTATGCTTCCATGTGAGATATAAAAATTGTCAAATGGGTATTGATTACCCCATTACCATAATATTTATATCTATATCTTGAGATTTTAACACTGTGGGGCAAATATATAAAATTATTTAAATAAATAGCATAGCCTTTGGTTTTTTCCAAAATTGATAGATTCATTTACACTTATGGCATATTCTAATAGTACTTATGGTTAATGAAAGACCACTAATGAAGGAATTAGTTTATATTCTAATAAATGCATATCCATTTCTCTTTCATCCTCATTAATACATTTCCATTTCTATATTGATAAATTTAGAAATGTGCTTGACAATAGTGACGGCTAGATGACCACCATGCAGGTTTGGTTTGTATTTTAGTTCTTCTTTCTTACTATTTATAATTGGTTATTAGATAATTTTAACCAAAATGATAGTTACGATCAAAATACTGATTTTGAGTATACAATTTATATTTATTTATATTATATTAAAAGGAGAGTAGTATGCATTGTGGTTAATCCAAGTGGCAAGCTAAAATAAAGCCACTTGGCAATTTTAGGACAACATTAATAATTAGAAGTTATATATAGAAATACAATTAATGGAAGTAGTTTAATGAATCTTATACATAATCCAAATAGATCTTAGATAAATCTAATTTATATATCTACATTTATATTTATAATTATATATATTTATATTTATATTTATATTTATATTTATATATTGATCCACTCATAAATTTTCTTCTATATTAGCTAGAAATATATAGGTAAAAAGTTAATTAAGAAACTATGATAGAAAAAAATAAAAAATACAGAAAGACGTAAATTGAGATAGCATATGACAACTATGCTTTTGATTGAATTAAAATATAAAATAAAACTAAAATTTACTTCAGATATTAAAAATTTATTAACTATAAAAACTGAAAAAAATTCAAGCAGCAAAATAAAATCTTACACAAAATATATAAATTATTTATAAGATAAGAAAAAAATTAAATAATCAGTAAAAAAATTATTTTAATAACAAGAATAATAAAGTCATATTAATATTGACTAATCGGGCAAATAAATATTTTATACGTAAATATTACTACAACATTTAGTTATAATGTGTTCAATCAATTAATAAATTATTTTCTATGATTAATATTTTAATTGAGTGTAGTTAGTTTAAGTTTAAAAGTATAAAATATTTTTTTTGAAAATGAGGTCCATTTAAGAAAATAGAATGACAATAATTATTTGAATTTGAGATGAGATTCTTTTTTAAATATGATAAGAAAAATCATATTTTGGAATATGAACAATAAAGTCAAAGTTACTATTGAAATATTTTTTAAGTTTTATCTATATTATATTAGAATGAGTGCTGTAGAAATAGATATTAAATTCAAATAGGCTAATGAAAAGCCACATGACAATGTAAAAATATTAGGTACTGAATAAAATAATAGCAAAAATAAAGAATAAATAGAGAAACTTGAGATTTTTTATCATATAGAAAAAAGGGTAAAACTTCTTTAAGTTTGAGATGAGAAAGGTTTTTATATTATGCTAAGAAAAGTCACAATATGGATAAGTCAACATAACTCAAGTCTAATAGATAAAATCTAAAATTAAAAATATTAAATAATAAAAATAAATTAGAGAGAATGTGAGAATGTTTATATTCATAAGTTAAGAAAATAAAATAAAGTAAATATACAATAATTAACAATATTATTAACAAATTTAAATAATTTAAATTTTTTGAGCAATATTCTAAAACAAAATAATGTGCTCAAACAAGACAGATCACAACATGACATGTTTGTACTCTTTAATAGTGATAGCGAAGCGAAATACAAATACTTGATCAAGGGGTTATGTTGCTATAGATATAGAAAAAATAGGTTGTCGATTGCGATATTTGAACAATAATTTCATATCCTGCTTCTTAATTAATATATAATGATTGTATAATTATTATCTGGGAGGTTTAGTTTAAGGTTATCTGCACATGATTCAAACAATATACATCACATTTTGATATAAATTGTATCCGCACATCGTGCGGGTGTTAATACTAGTTGATTTAATAAGTGTATCTGATATTCCCTTCGAATTCACCCTAAATCTAATTTCTCTTGCTACTGACATTCTCCATTTTTTGAAATTCTTAACCTAATTTCTTAATCTTTATTATACCATGTATATTATTATTATACCATGAATATCTTTATTATACCATGTATATAATTACATATGCGCACATAAATAAACAAATGCGATGTACGTTATACCATTATTATAATGTGTATATAATTCTTACACACTTAACTAAAAAATAAAAATCTATAATATACCCTAAATACATGATAAAATATAATTATATATATTCATACATAACTAAATAAATACTAATTTATGATATACCATTATTATGTCGTGTATATAATTTTCTACGCATACTAAATTAACAATCACAAACCTACAATATACCCATAATATACTAATTCACTTAATTGGAAGTTCAAGGAAATGCCTTCAATGGTGCAGATTATTTTGTGTCTTCCATTGATGGTATGTCTAGTTTTGTTTGAAAAGACGGAGATCATGTATAGAAGGTTATTATTGGAGAGTTTAATTAGGAGATTTGTTGGGATTTGATTGACTACAAGATGGAAACTGCTAATATAATATTTTTGCTGCCTCATTTGTTATTCAATAAATGATGCTAAGATTCTGTAGATATTTTTTAAATATTGTCTAGTTATAAAAGTGTCTCCTATACCTTTGCACTTTCAAGTAGATACTTTCAACATTATCTACTTAAAATATCTACGGGCAGTAGTGTAGAGGAGGCCATACAAATACCTACTCCTAGGCCCTAGCAAGTAAAGGATCGTAGTGTCTTTATCTTGAGGAACGTCTTGATGTGTGCACCCTCCAATTTAATTTTGTGTGACATTATCAGACTTTAATTCAATCCATTTTCAGAGCTAACTTGGACTAACTAATTCATTTTATAAAATTAATTATTGATACTCCTGTAGATTGTAGTACACCTTATAAAATAATAATAAAAATACACTAAGAAAGTGTTGATGAAAGTTTACTTAATTTGACCGTGTCAAAAAAGATGCCACCACTCTGGAGATCAAAGATTTGTCATAAACCTTTGAGGCAACTAAACAGAAATAGAAAAAATAAAATCTGTTTTTAGGACTAGATTTTTGTACAAAAACCCAGTGCCACCACTCTAGTTTTTCTGTTTCACGTCTTTTTCACCACGGCTACAGACGCAATTCCTGGAAATGGACCTTCGGGGGCATGAACCCATCTATATCTTTAACAACTAGTATTTGAAACTCCTAATTGCATTATAAACAGAGCAAATTATGCAATCTTCCACTAGTATTTTTGTTCTTGTTTTTGACTAGCAGCACAAAGCCACTTACCACCAAACATCCGATAATAGCAATACAAATATGAGTATCCCTAGCAGCTGGATTCCAAATTGGTGCACTCATAGGCTGCCACTTATTGATTACTTAGGACAATAAAGACCAAACTTGTCAATAGCGTCAGCCAAAAAGTCCCTATCAGTGAGTTAGTATTTCCTTTTTCCAAAACAATAATGAAATATCAAGGCAATTGTAAGAGATATCATTATACTTCCCAGGATTTTCCAAGACTATGGACATTAACAAAAGTGAATATTTTAGTGATTGGCGTTCTTTGTACAAAATGATTATCCAAAAGGATATCTGAAAGTCACTAGGGTCTGCATTCTCAAGCATGTTGTATATGGAAGATTATGTACAATTGGCAGTTAGCTTTGTGAGTCAGAGAAAAAAGGAAACTTCATGTACCAAAGTCTAAATCAAAGGAAGAACGACTGTACCGTCTTCCATAAGGGAGTCAACTCTAGAATCTAGTGGAGAAGCCTAGGATGGAATAGTCCTACCATTCAGCAGAGTCAGTCAGTGGATGTATCCTACCTTACAAAGTTCCCTTAGTAATTTTGTACAACTGCGCAATTTCCCTCAGCCTGCTGCATAGGTTGTAGCTGCTTGCCTACAAAAATATGATATTTATTAGTGAAGCCAAAATAGAGGCCATAGATTTCTCTAGTCATTTCAGATAGCCGCAATAAATTACAACTCCTAACACAATGGTGTCCATACTAGAGTGTACAATTCCAGAGGGAATACAAGAGCATTTTAAGATCTCAGGGTTATCTAACCAAGCAACCTTACGACTGCATAGCAATATTCCTCTTCAACTGCAACACCACTTTTTGCTTTATCACACAATTTAAGAGGTATATCGTGGATGGAATAGAAACTCTATTATCTTGGTTATCTTTGAAACCTAATTATTGAATAAACAGACCTGGATAGACTAATACCTGGGTGGCCTGCAAATGAAGTAGAATTCGAATTATAGTCGCTGTTCGTCACGCCAATGGAGGTGATTGTTAGGACATTACTCACAGGAAACTGGGATGTGATGTTCATAGGTGGCGGACATCCTCCAGAATCAACCATTTGAAGTACATTCGGCTTTTGGACCAGTGGAAAGGAATGATCATGTGCCTGTCCCACAAGCCAACATTAGCATTTGCCGCCAGAAAAATGACCAAGATCAATATAAATCAACTATGCTTCGATAACCATCTAGTTGGGGTCAGATAACCAATATCAATCAATTCAAATCAACTACACCATAATCCCGAACTATTGAGCTATATGAATCCGCTATAGGAATACAAAGATCAGTAATATCCCAAAAAAGATATCCTTCATTATTCAGCCAAGCACCAGAAATGTAGGGTTGAGGCATTTTACTCACATATACACAGGAAAAAAGGAAGACTTTACACATGGAAGATCATACAACAACAACAACAACGACCCAATAAAATCCCACCACGGTCTAGGGAGGGTAGTGTATACGCAGACCTTACCCCTACCCCGAGAGAGTAGAGAGGTTGTTTCCGAATGACCCTCGGCTCAAGAAGACGAAAAGAAACAATATCATTACCGACAACAAATACCATAGGAATAATAACAGCATCATAAAGACCAGAAAATAGATGAAAAGCAAAAGCGATAACCAGTAAATAGACCCGGCACTATGAAAAACAAAAGAGTAATGAGAACACAACATTAACCACTAGTAGTCTAGGACAACAATCCTATCGGACTAGCCTCACATAGGTACGAAGTAGAAATAGACTCAACTACCTCCTAACCTACAGCCCTAATACTCGACCTCCGCAGCTTCTTATTAAGGGCCCCGTCCTCGGAAATCTGAAGCCATGCCATGTCCTGCCCGATCACCTCTTCCCAATACTTCTTAGGCCGCCCTCTACATCTTCTCGTGCCTTCCAAAGCCAGCCGCTCACACCTCCTTACCGGAGCATCTGGGCTTCTCCTCTGTACGTGCCCTAACCATCTGACCTTCGCTTCTCGCATCTTGTCATCAATGGGAGCCACACCCACCTTCTCCCGAATATCATCATTCCTAATCTTATCCATCCTAGTGTGCCCATCCACCTCAACATCCTCATTTCTGCTACTTTCATCTCTGGATGTGAGTTCTTAACTGGCCAACACTCAGCCCCATACATCATGGCTGGTCTAACCACTGCTCTATAGAATTTACCTTTGAGTATCGGTGGCACTTTCTTGTCACACATGGAAGACCATAAAACCAAAAAAATTAAAGATTTTAAATATGGAAGAGCTAAAAGAAAAAAGAAAAAAGAAAAAGAATCCGATAGTTTAAGAAAAGATGATCCTTTTCAATCCAAATAGTTAAGGAATTGAATTAAGGTTTTAGGTCTAGGGGATAGTTTAAATTAATACATTTTCTTGAAGGAATCAAATTTCTTTAAATCCTTTATGCAGTAAAGGATTAATACATTTTTTTTTCCATCTCAAAAAAATGTATTAATCCTTTATTTACGTTTGAAAGTTTCAAATTCACTAAAGCATTCTTGTGATTTGAGCTTTCAAACTTCACCATACTGAAAAGAAAAAGAACGGAAGCCTCATTCAAGTACGAACCAGGTAACTGACACCAACATTTTCAAAGGGTATGGGATTATCCTCAATAATGTGATTTATCAGTATCTGATTTCAGGACAAATTATCTCGGCTATGGAAAAAGAATCTCTGCAACTGTGTATTGAATATGAATAAGTCCCAACTCAACCACAAATTCTACACCAGAAGAGGGAAGAAAAAAAGACGTCGCACCCATAAGATGAGCAACGACAACAACCTCAAACATCCTGAAATGCCAAGCTAACATAGAATTGAATTAAGGTTTTAGGTCTAGGGGATAGAGCAAGGACCAGGTCAACTGGATCAGAAGCAGTATAAATGTATTACATCCTGGAATTGACAAAGACAAAATTTATTATCAGGATAAAACAACCATCACCGCAATTAAAAGAACCCAGAAAAGCTATTAGTAGAAGATTTAACTGTAACCATTTTCAACAGGCTCAATGAAGGGTTCACACCCTAATTGATGAAGAAAGAACTGAGGATGGATTTATTATACTTCAGGAAACCCACGAGAAAAAGACAAGAACACGCTGCAAAAGACAACACTACCTTCTGGCTCATTTGCTTTTTGTAACTGCATATTTACAGCCAGTTTGGTAATGAGATTCCATAGTTTTCCTCCTTTTTTTTTGTGGATCTAGTACTCTACAGTTTTCCTCCTCCTTGTTGCATCCCCAGGAAATAATTAGCAGACAATCTGACATCTAAAGATCAAGAGGTGGCATAGTCTCGCTCATTGAAGGAGCACTTGCAATGAAAAATATTGGTTGCATGCTAAATGAATATAAGTTCATCTGTCATTGCAATCTCAAATGGAGATCACAGTTCTTAAAGGCGAAAAGCAAAAAAGAACTAAAGTTTGCTTGTGTTTTAGTGCAAACCACAGTTAAATGGCCTTCTGTGAAGAAAAACACTGATGAACAGAAAATAAGGAAATAAGAATGCAAGAAAATAACTACAAAAGTAAATAATTATTTGAACAGAAGAATTTTTTTATAACCAAAAAAAATCTTCTGTTCAAGTAAATATTACTTTTGAGTTAATTGTCCCACTTGTGGGATTACACTAGGCATGTTGTTGTTGTTTTGAGTTAATTGTAAAAACGACAATTAAGTAAAATATATAAAATAGAAATCATGCAGATCAAGTTCATGACACATTTTAAATTTATCATCTAGATGTAAAAATTACCGGCTTAAGTTTTTAGTGACTAGTTTCTTTTTTACACTAAATTCTAATTCCATATACCTAATCACTAAATAGTTCATTCATAACTCTTTGTTAAAAACAAATACATCATATTGCCAGATATATATTTGTCTAATGTTGCCCCGATAAACTCACAACCCACTAGCAATTAGGAGCATGCAAAAGCAATAAAAGCACCAACTAAGCAAAGGAGAAGCTCCACTTGGGCTTTAACTAGCTTAAGAACTTAGCAACTTTTTAACACTGAAGGAGAAAAGAAGCACTAGAATATGAAATGCAATAGGCACTAGATTCTCATGATAAGCACTGTGTTTTCATTCATATTCTGTCAATGTTACAGGATTTTCTATAGGAAGTAAACTCTAGTAATAACTACTTCTATGCCTCAATCCCAAACAAGTTCGGGTTGGCTATATGAAGCCTTAGGCCTCATTTGTTTGCACTTAATGGAGGTCTGAATCTTTATCATTCAGATCTCAGACATTGAGTGCGTTTGTTTTTAAAGTTTGAATCTTAATTATTTAGATCTTAATCATTAAGTGTGTTTTTTTTTTCCAGACATTGAGTGCGTTTGTTTTTAAAGTTTGAATCTTAATTATTTAGATCTTAATCATTAAGTGTGTGTTTTTTTTTTACTTCACAACCACTTATGGGTCTGAATAGGTCTGTATGATTAAGATCTATAACAGAGACTTAATTTCATTAAGATGCTATCATCCATATTCATTATCAACTACCACCACGGCACCACCACCACCACACTACCATCATCCTCAATCGTAGCCGCCACCATTATCGACTATTACCACCCACCATCTCCACCACTCCCACCACCATCATTCTCAACCACAATCAACACTCATCCACCTCAACTACCATAACTAACCACCCCATTACCATCAACAATCACAGCGGGCACTGCCCATCATTATAACCTACTACCACCCACCACCACCTTCCTCAATCACAATTACCACCACCACCCGCCATTATTAACTATCACCATCAACTACCACCATCCTCAATCATAATCGCCACTACTACCAATCACCACTAGCTACTACCTTGAACCACCACCATCAACCAAAACTACCACCAACCACCGCCTCTAGTCGGCATCCACCTATTAGCCATCACCACCAACAACTATCATATTTTAAAAAACTATATATTTTATTGATAGAATATTTGATTAATTAGTATTTCATTTGAATTTTATGTTTATTAATTTTCAAATAAAGATAAATTTTATTCATTCAGATGGTAAATCAAACAGTCTTAATCATTTAGTATTCAGATCTTAATACACATCTTAATATTGAGATTTGTATTCAGATTCAGATGTCTTAATCTTAATACACATCTTGAGATTCAGACGTCTTAATCTTAAAAAAAACAAATGAGGCGAGGTCATCTCAATACAATAAAAAATGGAAATAAAAATTACTCGAAGTTCCCTTTAATTTCTATTGGCATATAAAGCTCCGACATGACTAAAAGATTTCTGTAAACATAGGAAGGAAGTAATCTTAGTAACTTACCACTTTTTCCAATTACAAAAATTTTGATGCATGAATTTGATGAATGGTAATTATCCGAAATAGAAATTAGCCAGGACGGCCTGAGGATGAAGCAAATATAACAACCTCTTCCGAAAGAAAAAAGAAAGAGGTCAAACCTTCTCCTGCTGGTAATCAATTTGTATATGGGAGTTGTTGCTATGATACAATATGTCAGCTGGCATAACATTACTTTTTAAGACTTTTGGACAGGCAAACTCGCTGCCACTGTCATTACATGATCCCTCATGATACAGATAGCTGAGAGCTGATTTGAGACGATGTTGTCTTTGAGAATAATACATCTTAGTTGCAAGTGGATGTGGAACATCTGGAGGTCAACAGAATACGAGCAGTACCATGTAAACATTAGCATTAGAAGTTAAGAAAAAAGACACTGTAGAAAATTACTCAAAGAAGAAATCACCATGAGCATTAGAAAAAGTGACATGGGAAATTCTTTTGATTACAGAAGTTTAGGACTTTGTCTTTCTAATATGGAAAATATGGGGTCTCTATGAGCAACTGAAGGAAAAATGTGAATACTACCTTCAGCCCTCGAACGAAATTTTTGGACTTGAGTGAGAATTTTAACTGCGATAGCAGGACTACCAGTATTGTCACTGCCTGCACTTGACCTTTCTTGATGCTCTTCACCTGAAACTTCAAAATAGAAGCTATAGATGAGCCATTTTAAACAATGAGAATAGACCCCAACACGAATGCCCTCTATTTTCTCCTAAAAGAGTATAGAGAGTTTTCCCATGTGCTAGCTAACTATGTGAATCGCCTTCAGGAGGTAAATCTGTCTTTTGCAACCCTTCACCCCAAGAATAAGGCACCCAAAGAAAACACTGAATTTGTTACAGGAAGTACTCTTGTTACCACTCAAAAAGTTCGATAATGAAATTTTGAATAAGACGTTTCACACAATATGTACGGAGTAAAGCCTAACAAGATATATCCTGGTACAACAAACAGAAGTGTGAGTGTTGAATAGAAGCAGATTTCAGATTTTTTACCTTTGCTAACGCCAAAAAATGGAAGTAACAAATATCTTCATTCCAACTATACAGGAAGTAAATATATGAATAAATATAAATCTGTCCTTACAGGGAATACCCTCTCCCGAATTTGCCGACCAACTCTTAGTAACAGTATTTGCTGCACCAAAACTACAAAATGAAGAAAAATGCCATTAATTTATGAAATCAAGAAAAAGGATATCCCAACAAAATTCAAAGAAATTAACCACTTAATTTGACATGTATATGACTTTTCCCGATGCACATATGTCTTTACAATTTAGGAACTAATCAACTGGTAAACTAAAATGACCTGAACTACCTATAAAGCAAGCATATATCTCAATCTTTAAGATGAAATAATAATATTGCATTTTCTTCAGTCATGAGGCATCATCAATAGGTTAAATGGTTTTACTGTCAAGAGACAGCACACAATATGCTCCAATTTTAACAACCATTTGATTCCAAATAATTGTAATAACTAAACATCAAAAGACAGTTGGAATTATGCATTCAGAAAGATGGAGAAGAAAATGCATGAGATTGCCTACACCAAGGGATAAGTGCATACATCTTGGAATGTTTTTCCTGGTGTGAGATTGCACCTTCTGAGCAATCTACAAGTCCAGGACTAACCATGGAACAACTTCTCATGGTGGCCGCATTTAAGTGTGATGAAATTCCTGCAGTTGTAGGGAAATGAACCAGGAAACCACCATAAGAACCATACCAAGAGGTAGCTTTTGCAAAATTACTAAATATCAAGCTCCTTGGACTGCAAGGGAACAGAGTAAGGCAATATAGAGGGACACACAGGTAACTGCATAATCATTTTCGTTTGGTGACGCACCTCCTAAGAAATAGAAGCTCCTCGAATTGAAGTTTCGCAACCCTCTCCCACCTAAATCGTAACATTAAAAAAGGGAACACTTTGTCCTAGCATTGAAAAAGAACTTCTTCCTCCGTTTCACTTTATATGATGGTGTTTGACAAGGTACGGAGTTTATGAAAGAGAGAAAGAAAGACTTCTGACACATATCAATAGTACCATTGGAACTTGTGGTCTTAAAGGATTCCACAATATTTCCATAGCTATAAGATCATGTCATCAACAGTAAAAGGGAAGTTAAAGCTTATTTTGGAACAAACTAAAAAGAAAAAAAGTGGCATATAAAATTAAATAGAGGGAGTATAAACTTTCCACTAAAAATGCGCATTTTAATTCATCAAACAGAGTGAGGAACATAATAACAGTACCAAAGAAGCGTCAAGTTGAAAGTAAGAAACCAGAGAATACAACTAAGCTAAATCCTATGAATCGTCAGTAAAATAAGGAACATGACTACTAGGATCATAAGGAGAACAAAGAACATGAGCAAAAGGAGGATGATACTTTTATCTTCAGGAAAGGAAACAGTTGAAAGATGCTCCTCTGAACAGCATGGCAATGCAGCAAAATCACTTTCTAACAATTCAAGTTTGGCTTTCTTTCTGACTGATCTAGGTTGGTCTATAGGAAATTAAAGATAGCAAATCATTATTAAGCAGCAAAAGAGAAGTTAAGTATGCCATCAGATCTAAGCTTACAGAAAACTGCAGCGATGATCTCATGAACTTTTCTTCAAGAGCATGAGACAACAAAAGACAGTGCTCATATAGGTAAAGGATACTAGAAGATGCAGTTAGTGACTTTTTTCTCTCTTTCCTTGGACGTTTCTTGTGTGCTGCACCACCATTGACCTCCAAAACAATATCTTCTGCGGAGTATAATGACTTACAAAGCTCTGAAAAGATAAAACTGTACACATTAAACATAATGAAGGATATTCATTTAAAAAATTGGAGGATAGAGAAGGCAAAAGACAGAGTAGGTTTAAGGCTGGTCATCACTTTCCAGACTAAGTTAAGACAAAACTCAGCCATGGTGATATTATCTTTTTTAACTTTTGGAGAAATTAATATGGATTGTGCAAAGACTCAGCCTACTCGGCAATTTAAGGGTCTTTCTGCGTACATCAACCACCCAAAGAACGAGGTTGATTAGTCCACGAGGAGAATAAAAAGATACTGTTTATATATCAAAGAATTTAAGGAGAAGCATCGGAGAGAAGGTACTACTACATATCAATCACAAGTTACTTAGGATTGGCAATCCTCATTATAAATTTGGCTCTGTTTGAACCCGTTTTGTTACAATATTCAATAATTTAGTGTACATCTCTAAGTCTAGAGGCCTTCCTCATTTTCTACTGATCTACTAGGGAAGGACAATGTGACATTTATTCTCAAAACACAGGCAACTGTCAAGATGGTTTTTGTCAAGCTTGAAAGCTCAAATAGAAAATCAACACATCAGCAAGAGTTTTAAGATAAAATCTAATGGAACACATTTATGTTAAAACTAGAAAAGATTGAGATGGTAAGGAGAGATGGACACAGTCCACCTTGTGCAACTAGTTAAAAAGGGAAGGGTAATAAGGATTAACTACTGTCACTTAACAGAGTACATAGTTCTTTATCTGGGGAGGGTAGTGTGTACGCTAACTTTACCCCTACCTTGTTGCTTATCAATGACGGCATTTGGTTTCTCGTCCAGTAAATTAACTTTATATGTTAACATATCCAGGGGTGTAGCCAAGTGATCAATGGAGTGGGTGTAAACCTTAGAGGCCAGGATTAAAATCCAGTAAAGAGAATATACCAGGTGATTTCTTCTCATCTGCCTAAGCCTTGGTGGGCATAGTTACCCGATACATGTGCTGGTGGGATATAACAGGTACCTGATGGAATAATTGAGGTGCATGCAAGCTGGCCCGAATACCATCATATCATAAATAAATAAACTAATTTCATGTTGACTCTCTGTATCATGTCGACAAATTATGATATCCCAGTCATCATCATGCTTCCCCCCTCTTTTTAAAATAGGTCCTAGCTAGCATGTGCTTCAACGATGAGACATTCTTTTGTCATTGTGAACAGTTACTGTAATTCATTTAGGAAATGGAACAAAATTCCAGACAAGATATGGTAGAAACATTAAAAATATGTAATTAGTTAGAGCATTCATTTGCACAAATTAATTTTGAAGAGTCTCTAAAGGGGTTTATAACTTCTGGGTACTCCACTCCCTCTTCCACCAATATCTTGCCTCCTTGTCTTTGATGCACCTCACTTGATCCAGGTCCCAAGCATTTCTCCCTCATGGAAAGAGATGGCTATAAGACTAGTGCAATCAGGTAATCGACCAAGTAATCCACATACACGATAAAAAAGTATTCCAGCCCTGGTGTACTTATCCACTGGCACTGAAGGAGAAGAATGACAAGGTCTGCTTCCACACTAAGGATTGCCGCTTAGTCCCAATCCAAGAGCAAACAAGAGACGCCAGAGAGGGAACCAAGCACGAAAGTTGGACTGTTGGAGATAGTGTTAACAGTAATAATTAAACAAATAAAAGTATCCTCTCAGACAGTTTGGAACTTCTAGATGAGATGGTTAAAGAACTCAATACAGTTGGTCACACAAGCTTTTTGAGAATATACTTGTCCCAAATTGGCTAAGGGTCTCCAACGGCTCCAGACCTCGACATACAATGAAAGGAGAATATGATCTATAAAAGAAATGAAGAATCCCAGAAAATCCATTACATTGTAATTGTGGCACTAAGAATAGCATTTTGGAGTTACTTTAAAAAATAGACATTTACGCTGTCTTAGAGAAGAAATCCTAGAGGGAGGTAATGATTTTGTGACTAGTATCCTATAGCATATCATGTATGCTGCTATTTCCAACTATGATGAGTCCATGCAAATGTAAACAGAAAGAAAAAGCATCTATTAAAGTGCAGAAATAAAACTATGCAGAGCAATTGATGTATAACTATAGCAACACTAGAACACATGATGTTTTAAATTATTAAAAACAGAAAAAACCTGCGTGGGCAACGTATTGGCTGGCCTTTATTGGCTTCTTACAAGCATTGCAGCATACCTTAAAAACAAATATTCAAGAATCAATTACTCCAAATACATGAGGCTACGACTGCAGTGCATTAGGAATTATCATCATGCAAGCAATCATGTAAGTCCTTATGAGTTTATCATCACCTGGTTATATATGTCAAATATTCTTTTTTATCAGTGTTAAATCTACTATAGGAGAAAATTCCTAACAGATGTCAACCATATGTCCTTGTACGAGTTGAGAGTAAACTCTTTGCTGCTAGACTTACAGAATATGTTTGGAAGGAGACCAAAACTAAAGCAAATACTGCCATTATGAGGACAAGCAACAAAGTGAAGGGAGATGAGAGAGTTATTGTGCACTCTTTCCATTCCAATAAGATTGGGCTACTTTTATTTTTATTTTTTTGAGTAAGAAGACTGGCCTACTTTTACTCTGCCTAAAAAAGGTTCTCCTATTTCCAGAAATGGAAAACTTTTTCCCTCCAACAATTCAAACTAATATAAACTATTACAACTCTATTATGTTAACTTTGATGCAACAACATTTTAACTAACTACTTCATTTTTTATAGTTTTCAACTACTATTTTGAATATTTCGACATCAAATTCTCCCACTTCCAACATTTTAATAGTGTTTGGAAATTAATGATATTCTTGTCCAGTAACAATGTCTAGAGACAACTTTTTACTATCATCATCACGGATCCGTTTGAACAAAATCTGATGTCCTAAACAATAAGGTTTTGAGCAAACAAAACGATGTGGAACCCACCTGTTGGGTAGAACAAAAAAGTATCACAAAGTGTTGACAAGTGTGTGTTTCGTCACATTCTGCCTTTTCAATCACCCCTCCCCCAACTTCTTCATGATCTTTGCTTTTTCTTAAAACAACTTTTTTCAACATATATGTACTATATCTCTCTCTACATACACACACACACAGCGAAAAGAAAAAACAGAAAGATATTTAGTTGGTTCTAATGAATTAATCTCATCCGTAGGAAAGCCTCAAACATGATTTATAGCTTTAATAAGAAATTCAAAAGACAAACCCAACACTAGTTCCTCCAAACAAACACAAAACCAATTCTTTCAGATCCTAACGTGCTAACTGTTCTACAAAACAAAACAATTTGGTTTCTAAAACCGAAATAAAAACCAAAGGTCTCAAATTTGAACTCCAAGTAAGTCTTTAGCAATAAAAAGTCCACTCACTTTTGCTGATAGGATTATTCATTAGGAGCCATAATTTAACTTTTCTAATCCATTATGATGATTGAAGGCGCTAAAATTGAATAAGGTAGACTTAATAAACACATGGATGAGAATTGTTAGAAATGACTTTCTCAAAAGGTGGATTAATTTAGAGTAGAAGACAAGATGGACACAAAGGATCTATATATACGATACTGGAAGTAGGAATCAGGCGTAGTTGTTAAAATTAAACTAAGTGCTTACCAAAATCCTTTTTATTCTGGTTAGAAACTTCAACATCCATGTAAGGATAAATGTGAATTTTGAGAAGGACCATAAATTTTGTATTGTGGACTCAAATAGAACATAATGGTTATGGAGGATTGATATTCTCAACCCGAATTATTTTGGGATTGAAATCTAATTGATTGACTGAATAAGAATTTTGTAACAGTTGCTATTATAACTTCATATTAACATATACCGTTGCCCCTCCCCTTTATTTAAAGGTCTAATATCTTCTAATGGCAGCACCGCAGCAGCCAAAAGAATATCTTCAATTTATTCGTAACTTCATACTTTTGAAATACTACCTTCAATTTTTAATTTAAAATTCTATAATACAGTAACACTTGAGCCAAGGGTCTATCGGAACCGGCCTCTCTACCTTCACAAGTTAAGGGTAAGTCAGCGTACATATTACCCTTCCCAGACCCCACTTGTGGGATTTCACTGGGTTTGTTGTTGGTGTTGTTGTTATAATACAGTAACTAATATCTCTTCATATGTGTGAACTCAATCAAGATATCAAAGTTCCAAAGGACTCACTTGTTCTACTATACCCACGAATATCATCACATCAAGTCCTAAGGTAATCACTTGCCAAATTATATGACCCTGCAAAACTAGCCCTTTCTACTTTAGTCCATCGATACATTTTATCAACAGAGCAAGCGCAGTTGTTGTTTTTTCCCTAACTACCTTTTTCAAGCAAAACATGAAACAGAAGTTCCTCCTAGATTCTCTTATTTTTTATTCCACATAAGATGGGTAATTTATCAGAGTAGATGCTGAAGGATGTGGTTTCTTCAGCAGTTTCTCCACAGACACATTCAGATAAAAGTCATAGCTGAGTGTTATAAGTAGCGGTACAACTACTTGTGACCCAATTTCTGCCTTAAAACATATGGCAGTCCATGCACAGCCCTGCAGATAAAGCTTATTTAGCTATATCCGAGGTTAAAGAAAACATGTATGGTACTGCATTTATATCGTTATCATTCTATTTTTCATGTTTTTAAATACTGACAGAGACAAAAAAGGCCATACTCTCTTCTAAACTGTGCGCACCAATGTGAAGCAATTATGGGATGAGAACTTGTCTAGCAATAAAATTTTACAATGATATCAACAAGTACGATGATCTTATTCCAGAACTAATAGGTGCACTTTCTGGACCTTACCAAATGCAACGGATCAGTAAGTGGCCTCAAACCAAACACGTGCATATCTGCAAAAAGAGCATGTCAATGTACTTGAAGAATAAGAGCAAACAGTAGATGAGTTAAATGGTAAACCGAATGATACACCTGAAACTTCAAAGCTTGCTGCACCGAGATTTCTTAAACTAGTATTTACCTAAGTGTTAAATTGTGAATCTAGATGAAAAAGTAGATCTTTATCAATAAAGCATGTAAATCAAGCCAAGATCACCATGAACTTTTTCTCAACTTCCCCATCAAGTATCTGGACCAGAGGTGCAAAATCTAGAGAACATAAGTACCTTCTTCATCAATCAAATTTGCTTCATCTGCCTCTCTCAATTCTCTTTGAATGTACTGAGCAGCAAATTTAAGGCGGCCTGCTTCGTCTGCCAAGGAAAGAAGGCAGTGAGAAACAGAGGAAATAATCTCAACAAACAAAAGAAAAAAAAGATTCAGTGGGAAAAGCAAATAGAAGGATATAAGACAACAAGGAGTACACTGGACCAGGTCTCTATTGCGAACATGATAGGGCACAACTAAATGCACATAGAAGCACACAAACAATCTAAATTGAGTTGTACTATTCACCTGAAGCTGCTTGTTGGATATTTCCAGCTATAAGAAGCCTTGCCAAGGCTTTCATTCTCCCACTTCCAAGAGGACATACCATCGAGCTTTGTGAATCTGCAATTTAAAAAGATAACTTTCCAGTAATTTGAAGAATTTTATGCTAGAAAACTATGTTTGATTAAGTTATGTACTAAGTGAACAACCTATAATTCTTGACTCAAAGGAAGGACAAAAAATACTACATGCAGAATAAAGAGCATAATAAGACTTCAAATAGGGGACTTCCACCTCATGGCTACAGTAAGCACTCCTAGCCTTACAACTTACAAGAGCCTTTTCAGGGGATAAGTAAATAATTCGAGCGACCATTTACAAGTTTCTTTCATCATTAATAGTTCCAGTAGTATACATACCCGCGCCATGCGCGGATAATATTCAGAAATCAACGGCAGAAAATGTTATAAGTAAAAAATAGTAAAGACATATGATACTTCTTTTAACTAGTTTTGTCTTACCATTCAAAAAACTAATTTTACAAATAGCACCGATTCTAAGATGGAACTCTGTCTATGAAAAAAAAATATTGCAATCGAATAGATAGTTTTCTAAGTAATATATCATGTATGAAAAATCAATTATATATTAATAAAATTACAAAAGTATAAACATATTTAGTAGAATTTGAACCAAGGGGAACTATATATTTTATTATCAAGGTGTAAGGACATTAATAAACAATTCTTTCTTTCTTTATCCTGTAATCTTTGTCTATTATCCATCTTTCAAATAAACCCCTATTATGCCAATCCCTAAAATTGCATGTTTTCTTCCTTCTTTCCTTTTCTCCCTCTCTTCTACGATTAACTGAAAAAGATTTTGCTCCCTTTTTGGTAGTCTACGAAGTATAAAAATATACATTATATTCCTTTCTATCTCAAGCACTGAGATATGATTACCTTTCGAGACTCTAGTAATTATTAATATTAGATATTTTTAGTGTTGTATAGACACACCAAAGCTTCTTTGATCTCATATGATTCAGAGTTAAATTATTAATAATGTTATGTGATTTAATAATCAGAACAATTTCTGTCCCAAAAAAGATGCAGTTTTGCTGCATCATTACTTGAAAAAAGATAAACTATGCTCAACCCCCTATTCTTAAAGAACGCTAGCCTTAAAGTTGTAACATCACGGAAATATAAGACAAGAAGGAAATGGGTAACAAAAAGAAGTCGTCGGGTGTGGCAAGGTCATGATAACAAGCTAACTTCTGGATTACAACAACAACAACAAACCCAGTGTAATCCCATAGGTGGGGGAGCTAACTTCGGATTATGAAAATCAAAATTTTCCTAAGAATGTAGAAGTAACCTCGACCCATAGACTCGTGTAGTGGACCCCTTTGTTAAGAAGATGTTACAAGTGCTTTGTTGTTGTTGAGTGTAAAACCTTTGATAAGAGTGTCACCCATAAAAGTAAAATAAAATTGAGGAAGTTGCCCGTATTCAATCAATCTGTTAATCAACAACTTAGTCAATCCCAAATTAGTTGAAATAGGTTATAAAATTCTCTGTATCCATTCCGCTCTGTCGAGTATTTGGAGGATTAATCATAGTTAGACCATGTTACGTTGGATATCAACCCATGGGAACCCTACCCCAAGTAATACTCTGGAAAAGCTAATGTCAGGCAAAATTAGAACTTACAGCAACAACTACTACTAATGTTACTACAACTATGCCTCAGCCCAGACAAGCTGGGGTCAGCTATATGAATCCTTACCGACCACGTTACTCCATTAAAATCATCTCATGCCAATATTATGCAAGTGCAAATAAAAGTACTAGAAGTTCTTTATATTTCGTTAATGTATAAACCTCCGAAAGGTTAAACCACTCCTAGAAAGCATAAAACCTACAGCACAATTGCTAATGTCTAAAACATATCCTCAACTAATATGTATCACCAATATAGATATTTTGCTTCCATTATACCCTATCTTTTTCCAAGTCAGCGTGGATCCCCAGAAGTTGTAGGCCCTTCGAGATAACCTCATCTTCTTTTTAACACCTTCCCTCATCATGGTTTCACACCGATGGACCGGTGCATCTGGAGGTCGACGCAGGACATGACCAAATCATGTCAAGTGACCTTCTCTTATTTTACCGTGATCTCTGCTACTTGAACCTTCTCGTGGATGTAATCATTTCTAATCTTATCTAATCTTGTATGAACAATACATCCATATTAAATTATCGACATTTTGTCCAATAAAATACCACAAGTATCCATTCTCTACAAACAAAAATATCAATGATGAAAAGTTTCACTTATCCAACCAAAGATGTGATGTTTGATAAAGGAAATCCATAATGCATGTCTATGTAGCACTGCGTGAATGAAAAAACAAAATAAAAATCAGTGAGTGTTCCCACAGAACTGGTATGTCAAGTACATTGATCATGAACTGCACATTTGGCGCAATGCCATTACTAAAGCGCCACATAAATTGTGTGAAATTGACGAAACAATTGATGAGTTATACTTCGATGAATTCATCATAAAACGCATATAGTAGAATTAAAAATAAAATTTTCTTTTCAGAAAATTAAAATCAATTTAAAAACGTAAAAAAATAAAAATAAATTGAAAGAAATGGATAACATAGCGACATTACCAGAGTTCACGTTCGGCGATCAGTTAGAATTTCTAAAGAGCAGATTCGGTGGGTAAACGATAAGAATTGAGCGAAATATAGAGCAAATTCGGAAATTCAGTTTGAAAATGCAAAAGAGGGGATAAATGAGGAGAAAAATGACAATGCTGATCATTGAAACCCTAGAATTCCATTGAACGAACTCGGCATATTTGAGTGCAGAATTCACGTAACCGATGAAAGGGGTGAAGGGAAAAAAAAAAAGAAAGAAGAGGTGGCAAGCAAGGAAGCCAAGCAGCGACGAATAAGCGAGAGCAGTTTTAAGGCATGTTGAAGTGTTTGAGTGGATAGTTGAATTACTTAAGGAAAAAATTTATTAGAATCGGGTGAAAATCATTTATTACTTTAAAAATCAAACTCCCTCTCAATTTTGAACAAGTATTATTTTTCCTCTCAATTAACTTTTTAAAATACCTATTTTAACTTCTATATTATCAATATAACTTCTATAACAATTAAATTTCATTTTCAAAACAAAAAATAAAAAATGATAATCAAGCATGTAATTTAATAATGTTGAATAACGAAAAGAACGAGCAGAATAAATATTAAAATATGATAATTTGCTCTAATCAATACCTTTATTAATAGCAATAAAATTTTAAAAATCTGCTTAAACAATCAAGAATTAAAAAAAATGGTGAGAATCTTATAATACCATTCATGTAATAGAAATTTTTTAGATTAAGTAAAAACATATTTATAACAAACTCCTAAAAGATTATATACTTACTACTGAGAAAATATAATTTAAATATATACTTAATGCGCGTTATATTATAATAAAAATCATAAAAGTATGGTAGATTTTGTGATAAATTTATAAAAGGACTATTCTAGTTATAATTTTAACAAATTTATATGTAATTATAATTTATAACAAGGTATAATATAGGTAAAATTATAGAAAATATCACATAAAATAAAAAAATAGCATTACATAGAGGAGGGAATTGAAAATGACAAGGACAAAATAGACATGGCGTAGGATAAAGGGAGAAGAATGATATTGTTCGAAGTTGTAGGGAGAAATTGACTTTTAAAACAAAGTTAGGGGCGCAAATGATTTTCACCCATTAAAATCTTATATCAATGAATAAAAAAATTAAATGATGTACAAAGTCAATAACATAAAGTTACAAAGTTTTTTAGGATTAGCATCAGCTCGTCTTTTTTTTTTTTTTTTTTATTTTTTATTTCTGTGGTTCTTCTTCTTCTAGCTTTATGGCTTATTCTAAGTTTTACAATAACAATTTTGATTTAAAAAACAGTTCTGTGAACTAAACTCCTATTATGTGCGGGGTCCGGAAAAAAATCGGACCATAATTTTTCTTTTTAATCATAGAATGATTAGTGTTCACACAACATATATGAGTAGTGGTATTAGTCTTTATTGATGGTTGGTTATCTAAAAATAACTTTGGTGCATTTCATTATAAACTTCATTTTCATTTTTAAAGCAGGTCATGTTCTTTCTTTTGGAGTCTTCAGTGAGTAAAGGATAGGACATTCATCTAAAGATGTGCTGAGCGAAGCCTCTACTGAAAATGATCTCCTAGTTGTACCTTCCTTTCCTTGTAAGGAGAGGTATAATTGTTTGTCACTTACATTTACATTTTTCAAATGTTATATTGTAAATTTAAAGTCAATATATAGTTTGAAACATTAACGACATAAGAATTTCCAAAAAGAAGACATAGGATTCCAAATGACTATTTAACCTCAATATTTTTCATTATGCAAGTCAAACATGCTTGGGACATGATTTTCACCTCAGGAACTTATCTAATATTTCACTTAAATTGAAGAAATTTATGAAAGTGTAAATAACTTATAACCAGAATGATAAATAAAAAATAAAAAAAATATACAGTGGCAAGTATATTTTTATTAATGTTAAAATGTTTATGCTACATATGATAGTTACAAAGAAGAAAACTTTAAGAAGAAAATTGTTCATCAGATGCATGAATGCTGCTGGGGCATTGGTCAGCCCAAAAGACATCGCAAGGAACTCATAATGACCATAACAGGTCCTGAAAGCTGTCTTAAGAATATCCAAGTCCTGAATCTTCAGCAGGTGATACCCAGACCTTAAATAAATCTTGGAGAACACCCTCGCTCCCCGAAGCTGGTCAAATAGATCATCAATACGCGGCAAAGGATACTTGTTCTTGATTGTGACTTTGTTCAACTGCCTATAATCAATGTACATTCTCATAGCACCATCCTTCTTCTTCACAAACAGAACAGGTGCACTACAAGGTGACACGCTAAGCCTACTAAACCCCTTATCAAGGAGTTCCTGAAGCTGCTCCTTCAACTCAGCCGGTGCCATACGGTACGGAGGGATAGAAATGGGCTGAGTGCCCGGCACCAAGTCAATACCAAAATCAATGTCCCTGTCGGGCGGCATGCCCTGCAGGTCTGCAGGAAACACATTCGGAATATCAGCACCAACATCCCTCACAAAGGCCAAATAAGATAAACAACCCTTCCCAACCATCTGCTAGGCCTTCAAATATGAGATCACCCTACTGGGAATATAGTCTAGAGAACCTCGTCACTCAATCCGTGACAACCCCGGCATCGCCAATGTCACTGTCTTAGCGTGAGAATCTAAAATAGCATGACATGGAGACAAACAATCCATACCCAAGATCACGTCGAAATCAACCATACTAAGCAACACGAGATCAACTCTAGTTTCCAATCCCCTAACCATCACTACACACGACGGATATACACAGTCCACAATAATAGTATCACCTACCGGTGTAAATACATCAACAGAAGAAGCTAACGAGTCACAGGGCATATCCAGGTAATGAGCAAAATACGATGATACATATGAATAGGTGGAACCAGGGTTAAATAATAAAGAAGCATCTCGATAACATACTGAGACAATACCTGTGATCACTGTGTCTGAAGCAATAACATCTGGTCTGGCAGGGAGTGCATAGAAATGGTCCTGGCCGCCACCTGATCGGCCTCCCCCTCTAGGGCGACCCTTAGCTGACTAAGCTCCACCCCGAGCTGGCCGGGCGGGTGGTGAAGTAACTGGTGCTGAAGTCGTAGGCTGGCTCCTCTGTTGAGCTGGACCTCCGAATAGGCGAGGACACTTCCTCCTGATATGACCAAACTCTCCACACTCGTAGCAACTCCCCGGTGTTGGTGGTGGGGAATGAAGGGAATCCTAAGCACCGAGATAACTAGTAGAAGGGCCTGACATAGATAAGCCCCGAACCGATGGAGCACGGGACGAACTCTGAGCTGGTAGGGCACTGAGAGATGACTGGACCTAATGAGAACTGTGTGACCCATGGCCAGATGATGCACCACGGTGAACTGTACGAGCCGTCTGAGCATGCCTATAGGGACGACCCCTGCCGTGGTGGAGCTGACCCTAGAAGGAACACCACTAAAACCACCCGATCCACGAGACCTCTTGGCCTCCCTCTCAACCCGCTCCTGGCTGCGGACTATCTCTATCTGCCGAGCAATGTCAAAAACCTCATCGAAAGTAGCACCAGATATCCTCTCTCTAGTCAAAAGCAACCGCAACTGAAATGTGAGGCCATCAATGAACCTCCTGATCCTCTCCCTATCAGTGGGAACCAACCAAACTGCATGACGGGCCAACTCAGAAAACCTTATCTCGTACTGCGTCACAGACATATCATCCTGACGTAACTGCTCAAACTGTCTGCGCAGCTCCTCTCTACGAGATTGCGGCATGAACTTCTCCAAGAAGAGAATGGAGAACTCCTGCCATGTAAGTGGTACTGCACCGACCGGCCTATGCCTCTCATAATCCTCTCACCAACTGAAGGCACCCCAGAGAACTGAAAAGTAGTGAACGAGACCCCACTGGTCTCCAGATACCTACTGTATGGAGAATCCTCTAACACTTGTCCAAGAAACCCTGGGCATCCTCCGCCTTTGTACCACTGAAAGATGGAGGCTGGAGTCTTCCAAACCTCTCTAATCTCCACTGCTCATCATCAGACATAATAGGAATCACATGGGCCTGAGCAGCTGCAACCGGCAGGCTGGTAGTGCCCTGGTGTCTGGAGTCCCTGCATCACCTGCTCTGGTGCGCGGGCGAAGGGAGTCTGAGTACCTCCCCCGGCCTGAGAAGTGGCTGCTGCGGTTGGAACAGAGATCGCCTGAGCAAGACTGGTGCACACGGTCAGAATCTGAGCTAAGGCCTCCTAAAAGCCTGGAATCACGATGGGCACAACTGGTGCCTGAGCTGGCCCCACTAGCTCATCCATAATGGGACCTGTTCCTGAACTGGGGCAACTGGTGGATCTGCAGGTGCTGCCCTAGCTGATGTACGAGTTGCACCTCTGCCCCTACCGCAGCCTCTACCGCGACCTCAGCCTTTCGCGGCCCTGAGTGGTGGTACTAGTGGTTGTCCATCCCGTCCAATAGTACGTGTCCTCACCATTTGTGAGAGAATAGAATAACAGAAGTTTAGTTACCAGAATCAACAGATTCGCACGACAAGAATTCAAGAATGTGAAGTTTCCTAAGGGTTCGGTAGCCTTTCTAAGATAACTACAGACGTCTCCGTACTGATCCGCAAGACTCTACTAAACCTGCTCATGACTCGTGAGACCTATGTAACCTAGGCTCTGATACCAACTTGTCACGATCCAAATCCTAACCTGTCGTGATGACGCTTATCGCGGTACTAGGCAGGCCGACATTTCCAAAATACTTCCAATATTTAATAGAAAATGAATTGAGAAATTTTAAATAACTAGAGATTCCATAAAAATGGGGTAAAACCCAAAACACAAATGCGGAAAACAGTTCCCAAATCGGGGTGTCACTGAGCTCATGAGCATCTTTATATCACCAGTCTAGAAAAGAAATGTCTACGAAAGTCTGGATCAAATACAAATAAGAAAAAGACAAGGAAGGAGAAACAAGGACTGTGAACGCCGGGCAACTACCTCGTAAATCTCCGAAGATCAACCGTGCACGATATCAACGCCCACCATGTCCGAAAACACTTTGATCTACACACGAAGTGTAGGGTGTAGCGTGAGTACAACCAACTCAGTAAGTAACAATAATAAATAAGGAGCTGAAAGATAGTGACGAGCTACACAATTGTAGTACATTTCCAGTAATCTCAACAAGAAAGTAGACATGCTTTCAAAATCCGGCAATTTAAATCAAATCAGTTTGTACGTGCCAAGTTCGAGTAAAAAAAAATCGGGATATAATGTCTCCCAGAAGTCTCAGAACA